TTTGACCAACTGGTCAAATTGGTCAAACTGGTCTGGTCAAGCTTGACCATTGACCGGTCCATGCCAACTCTGATTATTATATATACTTTTGATTACACTTATTAACCTTTTGATTACACATTATTAATCATATAAATAAAAATAATTCTTAATTATAAATTTTAAAATAATGTTAAATTACACATCATTATATACTACTTTTGATTACCTTTCGATCATGCATTATTAATCATATAAATATAAATTATTCTTAATTATAAAATTATTAAAATAACAAAAATGAAATTAATATCTTCATTAGTATATATATATCCAGATAATTTATACACATCATAACATACCATTTTTAATTACAAATTATTAACCTTTTGAGTATGCATTGTTAACCTTTCGAGTAACCATAATAAATATAAATTATTCTTAATTGTAAAATTATTAAAATAATGAAAAAAAATTAATATCTTAGTGTTTTGTTAATATATATATATCCAAATAATTTATGCTAAATTATGTCATTATATGTCACTTTGATTATGCATATAGTAGCTAACTATTTGTATACTGCTTTTGATTACGTATTATTAACCTTTCGAATGCATATCATTAATCTTTCAATTATGCATTATAATCAAGTAAATATAGACCATTATTAATTATAAAATTATCAAAATAAATTTAGCAAAACATCAGAAAAATGTCAAACTTTATACTATAAACAATCAAAAAAAAACAACTTATTTCTATGCAAACATACCAAAGTTATGCATTAGGAAATGATATAAAAAAGAATTGTCTGATAAAATGAATTCTGTTAACATAGGTGTTTCAGAGAATACTTTATTTTCTCAGGAACACAATTCAATTTTAACTAATGCTAAAGCTGATAAATTCAATAATGAAGCTTATAAAATGAACAAAAAAATAGTTAGAAAACCAGAAGTTCATGAAAAAGCTAATAAAGTAATCGATGAAAAAGCTGAAATAGAAACATTAATAGATAAGGTTTATTGTTAATAAGCATATTAAAAGTATTAAATATAGAACATTAATATATATATATAACTTTCTTTTTATATAGAAGCTGGAACAAGCAGATGATCTAAATGATGATCTATTTCAAGATTTTACTCCTAGGCTATTGATTAATGATACAAAAGAAGATCCAATAAATACCAAAATTTTAGAAGAAGAATCTTCAGAATTTGAAGGTTATGATGAAGAGTACAGATTGTACTTTCCAAATTTTACAACAGTAATGCTATTTGTATGAATTACTAAGCTTATAATTGGTAAGTAACAATAACATTGTATAACAAATGTGTGTCTAATTCAAAAAAAGAAATTTTAATAATATAGACATATTTGAATCAAAGTTTTTTTTGAATTTAGCATTCTGGAATCTGTTTTTGTATTACAATGCATAAAATAAGCAAACTTTAATATGTAATTATTTTAGCAACTAGTGCATGTGAGAATCTTTTTAAAATCCTTAAACATCCTAATTTTCGCAATGAAGATATATTAACAAATATTTGATGCTTCTGCAAATGGAAACACAAACTGTCTATTCTTAAAGTGATGCAGCATGATGTATTTATTTGCAAACAAAAAGTACCATCTACATTTTTGTCTACTAAAAAAGCATTTGTCATATCTCTCTTGGCACATTTGGAATGTATGCTAAATAACCTGACACTTGTGTCCAAAATGCATTTTGGACTCAGTGTGACTAAAAAAAAAAAGAGTGAATTTTGGCATAGAGATCTTTGGCAAGAATCTTTGCATTTTGGAGAACATAAAATAAAATGCAATAACAGAAGTTAGTATTTAATATTATTCAAAAGTTTTTTATTAAAAAAATTTAATCAAGTAGTTGATTACTGCTATTAAGTATTGTCACAGCTGATGCTGAAATTTGAACCTACTTTAATATGAAATTTTAAAAATTTTTTAAAGTGTTTTTGTCTAATTTTTTTTAGAGTTAGGTTAGAATTTAAAACTAAATTTGATATTTAAAGAGTATATGTAGATTTTAGCAGAACTTATAATTTCAAATCAAGATCCCAAATTTCAGCATAAGCCATACAAGCATTTTTCTTTTATTACTTGTTATTTATATATTGCTGTTTTTATGTTAAATAGTTAGCTTTTGACAAATATTACTATAAATGTTTTTTTAGCAGATCAATAGCGATAGATCAAAGAGTGTTTTTTTATTTAAATTATTTATATATTGACTCTAAGGCTTCTACTGAGATAACTATTTTAATAAAATAAAATTTTTTATTTTGTTGATAATTATATCTAATTAGAAACTTATTGTTCTGAAGATTTTCTTTTGTATGAAGAACTATCTTTAGAATTTATATGCTATATATGTGGCATAGTAATTAATAAAGTAGATAGGACACATAAAGTAAAAGGTGACCAGCTTCTGCAAAATAAAAATCTTCCTAATTACCATTTCAATAGTATTCACTACACTTGGAGAGATAATAAAGAGCTATGATTGGTTGAGGGTGACCCTATATTTATCAACCTAGTAAATATTAATTGACATGTTGTGTGGTTCTGTGATCTGCCAGTACTTGAAAATTACGAATTTTACATTAAGAAGATTGTCTACTATTTTGATGATCACTAGAAATATCATGACATTATAAAAAGGTATTAGTTATCTTATGAGTATATTATGTACAATCCACTATTACAACCTATGCTGACAATAAAGATCTTCTTTGACACTTATATAGATGATTTTGGAACATTTAGGAATATATATTATTCTTTAGATAGTATATATTTGCAATTTGGCAATATGCTATTCTCTTTTTGAAAATTACTTAAAAACTATTTTTTAGTTGATTTAATTCTATTCAGAGCCAAGTTTGATGATTTTATTAAGCCTGTTATTAAAGATATAAAACAATTAAAGAATAGCATAGTTATGAATACAATATATAAGAGAGCTTGGGTTGTAGATAGGCTTGGTTGTATTACTGCAAACTTACTTCAGAGTAATGATCTTGCAAGTGTTAAAAGGCATGAGGCCAAACATAGTTGTAAAACATGTAACGTTCCAAGTAATCAGCTCATTTGTCCAAATTACAACCATATAGAGAATGTTTGTTTCTTGTGCCAAACTAAAGAATGATTACTTGATATTGCACATCAGCAAAAAAAAGTGAATAAAGAATGGTTGGCTACTGAATATGGTTTGACAATATCCTCTAAACCTTTTAATAGTCTTATATAAGATCAGCATATACAAATTCTACAGGACATCTATCATTTGATAGAAGGCAAAGCTTAGACATTACTGGATGCTACGTTTAATATACTTAATACTATCAGTAAGGATGCCTTCCTAAAAAGCTGGAAAGCTATTGAAAAACTTTCTTACTGAAGCAGAATGCCTAATCTGTTAAGGCATCAGCACAGTTTTATGTTTTTTGGACATGTTAAAACTTTCTATTTTAATAACATTTATACTTCAACATTTTTTGAAATTTCAATATATAAAGGTTAAAACTTCAAAAAGATGGCAAGAAAATTTCAGTAAAAGACAAGTTGTTACAAAATTATGTTCTCTCTGAACCACTGAAGCCAAAGCACTAAAGTTTGCTTTTACAATGCCAATGACTAGTATTATTTGCCAAGAATTGCAAGAATTATTAAACAAAGAACATGACTTACTTGTTTAGGTCAGTCTTTATAAAGTTTACTTATTAGACAGTTTGAGATTAATGTTTTAATTAATTTATAAAATTGATTACTATATTAAATAATATATAAGTTATAGTATATAAGGCTATACAAAATTAATTAATTGGTTTTTATAACCCAGCTAAGTCAAAATTTAAAAGCTTATAAAAAATTTTTTTTATATATTTTAATAATCAGGTGGGTTTTAAAAAATTTTTTTTAAAAATTTTATAAAATTTATATATAAAAAATTAAAAAAAAAGCCAGCTGACCAGGTCTTATCAAAAGTTTTATATTATGAAAACCTAAATATTAAATTTGTTTGACCTAATAATCAATTCTATAGTTAATACAAAATAGGTAAAATAATTGTTGGTGTCATGGGTTAATTAGTAACTTCACACTAAAAATATAATTTAAATTAGATACAAATGTCTTTCAATTGAAACAATACCAAGTTTATAAATAAGGGTAAGTAATTTGCCAATTATTTAATTATTCCTTCTTAGAGAAAAGGCAATTAAATTTAATTAATTTCTCCTGCTTATATAATCATATTTTGAATCCCTAATATTATACTTAAATTTATTATAATATCTTTGACTCTTATATTATTATATATTGCATAATTTATTACCTTCGGTATACCATCTTATAATACTGCTGTTGTATAATTCTTGAATTTCCCTGATAATTATTGTTTTGATTATTCATCACATGTGTCACATATACAAGAATCAATCGATTCTTTCTTCTCTTATAAGCTAAGTATCAAATTATACTTTTTTTTTTTCTTTCTATTACTAATGTGATGAACTACTCAATGCTATAGATTCTCATTTATTTCTTTTACTAAATATGCCAAGTACTGTTTTTTACTATGACACTAATATTCTAAATATAATATTAAATAAAATTTTAATTTTGAACTGTCTTGTTCTTTTATTTAATGTTTAATATACTAATTATTATTTTAAAAATAGTTATTTCTAGAATGCTTTACAAACCTACCTAATCTTCATATAAATATACATCTTTTGCAACACACTCAGAACTTTGCAACATTAATAAATGTTGCTGTAGGTGTAAAAAAAATGGTACATCAGATTTTTAAGAGAATGGTTCCACACACAAACTGTAAAATAATTGAACTCGATCTTACCTGATGTTACAATACAATACAAGTGTTGAGGTATATCTTTGATGGCTGGCAAAATCTCTGGTTTGGTTTTAGTAACAATACATTTTCTAACCTTGTTATAGATCTATAACTTCTTACAATTTTCTCAAACTGGCATGCTACTAGCAATAAATCACTCATTTCAATGATTCAACAAGAGAAAAAAAATGAAAAAGATGATAACTAGTAAATTTTTTTAAAAAAAAACTCCTAATATAGCATTTAGGCTGTTCAAAGTTGATTCTTTGGTTAACATTACTCCTAGCTGAAGGCTTCTTCTGAGAAATAAACAACCAATCAAAATGCTGGATAGCTCTCACCAATCTCTTAATTTATATCAACCAATCAAATTGCCTCATTTTTTTTATTATATATGTTTGTTTAATTTTATCTCATCTCTTCCAAGAATTCTAAAAGTAATATTAACTGAAAATTCAACTGCAAGCAGCCTTATCTGAGAACATACTGTGATGCTATTAACTAGTAAATTCAAATTTTTTTAATAAGATTTATATTATTTTTATAAATATGAAACATTTTTAGATACTGTGTGTGTTACTTGCCACAATAAGAACTTTGTTGACATTAAACTTAAAAATCGATGAACCAAGAAGAAATTAGAGTGCATAAATTTAAATACAGTGTTAAATGAAAATCATTCATTTTTTCAAGACCTCTTTTCAAGTCATATGCAGAATATCTTGAATTTGGATATGCATTATTAAATAAAAAGCTTGAATTTTATAATCATATTATATACACTTTTCTTAATAATAAGAAAGAATTCACTAAATTGAAGTTTTATATTAGTAATATCATAGAGTTATCAGAAAACTCAGAAGGCATTACCTATGCTAAAATTAAACTAATATTTAAGCATAAAGCAAACAATGAGCAGAGTTATACTTTTATTCAATTTGAAAAGTTTTAGGAAACAAACCAGTTTAATTCAATATTAGAATGCTCATTTTATATTCAAAAATCTAAAAAAACAGTTTATTTTTCCAATTAACTATATTAATCATACTTTCCAAATTCACTTTTTGCATGCTTGCACAGACACATATGATACTAACTATAATAAAATGAATAATAGATATATATTAAATAAATTTTATTATAATATAAT